CAGGTGAAGAAATCTGAACTTGGAAATCATATAGATGGTTCTCCTACTGATTACTAGTATAGGTTCAGGCAAGCCATTTACTCTTTGATTGCTTTGGTTTTCTTATTTGAATTAGATCTCTTAAGGATATCTTCATATCTAAAATTCTTTGCTGGTCATTTTTTCATTAAGAAATTCACAAATACTAGGGGTACTTGGGTGGCTCAGTCAGTTAAAGCTTCTGACTTTAGCTCAGGTCATGATCTAGTACTCTTGTGAGTTCGAGCCCTGCATCGGGTTCTATGTTGACAGCTCAGAGCCTGGAGCCTGCTTTGGATTCTGTGTCTCTTTGGATTCTCTCTGCCTCTCTCCTGATCACACTCTGTCTCTAACTCTCTCAAATATAAATAAACATTAAAAAATTAAAAAAAAAATTTTACAAATACTATATCTTTGCTGCTGTGGCTAATAAGAAAAGTTCAGTTATTATATTTTCTTTATGTTTTTATTCTGTGGGGAGGCTATGAAAATATAATGATGGTGAGTTTGAAAAGACCAGAGGAATAGCCTGATCTACTCTCACAGTACATAAGAATTAGAATTGTCTGAGCAAATCAGAGAACTCTAGATGCTGGCGAGGATGTGGAGAAACGGGCACCCTCCTACACTGTTGGTGGGAATGCAAACTGGTGCAGCCCCTCTGGAAAACAGTGTGGAGGTTCCTCAGGAAAATAACACTAGAACTCCCCTAGGACCCAGCAATAGCACTGCTAGGAATTTACCCAAGGGATACAGAAATGCTGATGCATAGGAGCACATGGACCCCAGTGTTCATCGCAGCACTCTCCACAATAGCTAAAACATGGAAAGAGCCTAAGTGTCCATCAACGGACGAATGGATCAAGAAGATGTGATTTATCTATACCATGGAATACTCCATGGCAATGAGAAACAATGAAATCTGGCCATGTNCAGAAATGCTGATGCATAGGAGCACATGTACCCCAATGTTCATAGCAGCACTCTCCACAATAGCTAAAACATGGAAAGAGCCTAAGTGTCCATCACTGGACGAATGGATCAAGAGGATGTGGTTGATCTATACGATGGAATACTACAATGCAATGAGAAAGAATGAAATCTGGCTATTTGAAGTAACATGGATGGACCTTGAGGGTGTTATGCTGAGCAAAATAAGTCAGGCAGAGGACAAATATCATATGTTTGCATGTATAGGAGGATTAGGAGGAACTTAACGGAGGAACAAGGGGGAGAAGAAGGGGGTAAATGGTGGGGGAAAGGGAGAGAGGCAAACCATGAGAGGCTCTTGAATGCTGAGAAACAAATGAGGACTGATGGATGTGGGGGGGAGGGGGGAGATAGGCATGGAGGAGGGCACTTGTGGGGATGAGCATTGGGTGTTATATAGAAACCAATTTGACAATAAACTATTTGTAAAAAAAAAAAAGAATTAGAATTGTCATATATCTTCAAGATTAAGTATGTAGAGTATGCAGAGTGGAGTTTTTTTTTTTTTTTTTTTTTTGGTAGAGTGGAGTTTTAACTAAGGGTTATCTAAGGTAGTAGAAATTTACTTTTCAAAATAGAGATTGTTGACTTCGTGAAGTTTTTGTTCTAGAATTATCAATAGGCATATTTCCATAAATAGGCAGAGGAATAGAAGAATCTCTAGAGATATTTTTTAATCATCAGAACTCAGCTTTTTACCTTTGGATATGATGTGCTAAGTCTGTTGTGGCCAGTATCTACTTCCTTTTCCTTCCCTGAAGTTTTGTGATTGGACGACAATGGAGAGAGAAATTATTGACAGTTTATGAGTTGAAGTGGGGAGATGCTGCTAAACCTATCTATTGCTGGTATCTTAGCTAAGAAAATATGATAAGATTTGAATGGACATAAGTTTCCATGATCTTGATTCTTTCTCACTTCTATTTTGTGGGCTCAAATCCAATTTCTGCCACTTAATGCTGTGTGATCTTGGCCAAGTCAATGCCTCATTTTCCTCATCGGTTAAATTTGTTACCTGGCACACATCTGCAGTTGTATACTCTAGCTTCTTTCTTGTTATCATGGAAGAATTTTCTGTGCTTCTGCCAAAGGCCAATCTGCCTCTTTTTCTACTGTTAAGAACATTGCTCTAGTAATTCTTTCTCTTTTGCATCATTAATTCCCTCTTAACTGGGTATTTACCATCAGCATTAAAAATATGTTTCTCTTATTAAAAAAATTCTCTCTGCCAGTATTTTACCACTAGAGCCAGACTAGTTTTCTCTTTCAGCAAAACATCAGATGAATTGAATTTGTACTTGATATCTTTACTTTCCTTTTTCTTATTCTTGAAGAACCCATTCCAATCCAGTCAGGCATTTGCTCTCTGAAATGCCACTGAAATGGCTCTTCTGAAGTCAGAATTGACTTCTGCCTTCTTAAATTTAGTGGTTATTTTTCAGGACTTGTCTAATCTGTCACCAAGATTTGGCACAGGTGATTGTCTCCCCTTCCATGAAATGTTTTCTTCACCAAACTTTCAGGATACCACATACATTCCTTCTGCTGTACCAACCCTCTTTTGCTGACTCCTCATTTCCTGGATCTGTTAATGTTATGCTCCAAGGTTCAGTTCTTGAACATTTGTATTCTCTATCTGTACTCCTTCCCTTGGGATCACATCCACTCTTAAGCTTTAAGTATAACCTATGTATGGTAATGAGTCCCAGATTTATTACTCTAGGCAAATATATCCAGCTGGCTATTTGAAGATATACACTTGAATATATAATATGCACTTTAGATTTACTGTGTATAAAACAGAGTTCCCAATCTTACTTTCCAAACCTGCTCTTCTTGAAGTCTTGCTTTGTATCTGTTAATAGCAATTCTTTTCTTCCAGTTGCTCAGGGGCAAAATCCTTGTGGCTACTTTCTTTCTCTCATGTAGTCTGCAGATCTTATTGTTTCTGTCTTGAAAATACAAAGAAAAAGTGTATCCAGAATCTGACCACTTTACCACTTTTCTGCCACCTGAAGCCAAATCACCATCACCTCTCCCCAAGATTATTGCAATAGCTTCTACTTGGTCTTCCTGTTTCCTCTCTTATGTCTAGAGCCTATTCTTACTGTATTAGTGAAATGTGTCCTTTAAAACACAATTTAGAGCATTATTCCTTTGCTTAAAACCCTCCTGTGGCTTTCCATTTCACTCAAATTATAAATAAGCCAAAGTCTTTGTAATGGCCTCCCAGAGCCTTATATGAGATTGGGCCCTCCTCATTTCTCCAGCCTTGTCTCCTACTACTCTCTTCCTTGACTACTTTGCTCCAGCCACACTGGCCTTGTTGTTATCTGACTGCCTTAGCACCTTTCCAGTTGCTGTTCCATCTCCTTAAAAGCCTCATTCTCATTCCATGTATCTGTGTATCTGATTCCTTTACCTCTGTGAGGCCTTCTCTCAAGTGTCTCCTTCTCAATGATGCCTTCTCTGACTATTCTGTTGACATTTGTTACTTTCTCTTGCCCCCTTCCTGTATTTCTTCCATTTTTTTCTCCATAGCACTGCCTCTGTCTAACATATTGTATATTTTACTTAATTATTTTGTTTGTCTGTTTCTTCCTGCTGTATCGTTAACTTCACTAAGGCACATTTTTTTTTAAATACTCCAGTGCCTGGACAGTGCTTAGCAGATAGAATCAATTATATGAGTAAGTCAGTTAGTCAGTGAATGAATGAATGAATGAATGAATGAATAGTAGCTACCTCAGAGGGTTCTTATGCTAATTAAATGAGTTAAACATAAGTAAATTTCGAACATGGACTGACAGTTAGAAAACACTCTGTTACCTTTTATTATCACTTTCATGGAGGGTCCTGCAGCTCATATAAAAATAGACTTTTAAGTGAGATGTCTTGACATACCTAATCTTCTATCAGTTTTGGCTGGAAATGCCACCATAAAGAAAGAACTATAGGGGCGCCTGGGTGGTTTAGTTGGTTAAGCGTCCGACTTTCGCTTAGGTCATGATCTCATGGTTCGTGGGTTCGAGCCCTGCGTCGGGCTCTGTGCTGAGCCTGGAGCCTGTTTCAGTCTGTGACTCCCCCTCTCTCTGACCCTCCCCTGCTCACGCTGTCTCTCTCTCTCTCTCCTAGAAATAAATAAAGCATTAAAAAAAATTAAAAGGATTTAAAAAAAAAAAGAAGAAAGAACTATAGTGATGATTTCCAAATTTTGGAGGGTCCTTAGGGAACCACGATAAATCAGATTGACAAGGAAAAAGAATCTTTAACATTACAAGTGTTAGAAATATTAATTCTATGAAAACTGCTTTCTTCTTTACTTGTCCCAAATAACAGTAAGGGGAAATGAAATTAAATGCAAAGTATGCACTTTGTTTTTCCTTTTAAAGAATGAATTTGGGGGCACCTGGGTGGCTCAGTCGGTTAAGCGTCTGACTTCAGCTCAGGTCATGATCTCACAGTTCATGGATTTGAGCCCTGAATCGGGCTCTGTGCTGACAGCAAGCTCAGATCCTGGAGCCTGTTTCAGATTCTGCATCTCTCTCTCTCTTTCTCCCTCTCTGACCCTCCCCTGCAAACGCTGTCTCTCTCTGACTCTCAAAAATAAATAAAAATTTTAAAAAAGCATGAATTTGCCTTTAATTTCGATCACAAAATAATTTTAAAAATATTTTTCCTAATAAAATTTTTATCCAGTCATGAATAGTAGGTTTTGAAAATATGAGACACTTCATTTTTGCATATTCTTATGGTGGTACGGAGGGAGAGAGTGAAATTTTGGTTACAGATAGTAATCTGTTGCTATCATGTGGTAGAACTGTCATGTCCCAACTTTAATGCTTGAAAAATCTTACTCGATTACTCTTTTTTGTTTCAAGGAGATTGCAGATCTACTAGATAGTTAAAGAGGGTCAATAAATTTTTGTAAATTATTAACATTGCATTTCCTGTATTTCATATTGAAGCCATTATTTTAACTATTCTGGTAGGCTCATAGCTGGCAACCTGGAATAAAAAATCCATACCGTGGCGTTGTAGTGTGGCCTGTTCCTGAAAACATTGAAATCACTGTGACACTTTTTAAGGTAAGTTCCATTTTTATAATTCATACAAATTATTATTCTATAATCATGGTTCTAAAAGAGAATATTTCAGTATGTGTTGTTCTGTATATTTGGTTCCTTAATATGCATTATTTTTATGGGTATAGCAATTTATACCATTGCAAGGTCATCAGGGTGTTTCATGGTCGATGAAGTCAGAATAATTTGGGAGTCCTTTTGAACTTGTTACAATTGAGATCAGTTGGTATACTTCTTTTACTACTTCTGACATTCTATCCACAGGAAACTTAAAAAATTTTTTTTTAATGTTTATGTATTTTTGAGAGAGAGAGAGAGAGAGAGAGAGAGAGAGAGAGAGACAGAGCACGAGTGGGTGAAAGGCAGAGGAAGAGGGAGGCACAAAATTGAAGCAGGCTCCACACTCTGAGCTGTCAGCATAGAACCCATCACGGGGCTCAAACTCATGAACTGAACCATGAAATCATGAGCTGAGCTGAAGTGGGATGCCTAACTGACTGAGCCTCCTGGCGTCCCACCCACAGGAAACTAAGTGCTTTTTTTGGTAGAAAGCGAGGTTTGTGGAATTCTTAGTCCTGAGCCTCTTTTTGTTAGCCCTATTTGACTAATCAGAAGATATGTTTTAAAATTAGTATTCAATAAGTATTTTATTAATGTTAATTTAAGAAGAGAAGTTTTAAATTCATGTTTGATAAATATCTTAATGACATTAATATTTTACAAGTACTGTAGCTTAAAAGCAAGATTCTGTTTATAAATTCAAAGGACAGATCCAAAAACATAGCTGTGTGTATACCTATTTGCCTATTACACATATATGTTTTTTTCTGTGTGTGTGAAAGTCTTACATATTTCCTGAAATATTATAAAGTAGTCCTCACTGAGTCCCCATTAGGCACTAGAATATTTACTTTCCTAACAAACTCTTACCTGCTAACCAAAAATGGTGGGGAAAAGTCTCATTGTTAGCCTTTTTGAAAGTGGTAAAATTAGAAAACAATGCTTTATTTCTTCTTTGAATCATTCTAGTTGTGTTGAAGTTACCTTTGCTGTACAGAAGGAAGAAAGACTTCTCACTGAGCATAATTTAGTAATGCAAAGTTTATGAAAATCCACCAAATATTTTAGGACATGAAATTTAAGCAGAGCAACATTATATGGCTTAGCATGAAATCAGTGTATAAAAAAGTCCTTTTTTATTTTGTGATCTAATTAATACATTTATTCAGGAGCTACTGCGGAGATCAGTAAAACAGAAGAGTGTGATAAATGTTAACATAACCCATGAATGAAATACTACTTTTAAATGCTCTATCATAGATATTCTGTTTTATGAAATATTCTTAACACTTTACATGTTTTATAGTTTTGATATTACTGTTACTGACATTATAACATTGCTCACTAATGCTTGTCATACATACACACCATACTTAATTTGCCCAGAGAGAAGTAAGGGGTAAGATAGTAGCTAGTCTACCTTTTTTTAAGGAGGTTCAGGACTGTCTGACACCCCTTTAATCAGCTGTACTAAAAGGCTATTAAACTTCCTTTACCTATATATCTCTTACTGGGATGATACAGTAAGCTTGGTAGGTAGGAGTAAGACCTTTGGAACATTTCCTTTAATTCTCTCACAGCAACCCATAGTTGTATAATTATTCCTGTTGTACTGATAAGGAAAATGAGACTAAAGAAGAAAGTGGCTTGCTAAGTCACACTGATTTAGCTCTCTTCTTTCCTCCACATATTATGTCCTAGTCTGTGATTAAAAAAAAAAAACAAAACTGCCATGAATATAGATTACAACAGCAAGATCACTGACATGCTTGAGGAAGACTTTTAAGTAATTTCTTGAATATTTTTATTTGATTTGCTGTTTACATCGGGAAAGAAAATGATGGGTATAGTTTTACAACTTGAAAAAAATGATAGAGAGTAAGGGGCTAGAATAGGGCTGATAAATAGTTGGCAGCCATATGTTTGGGAAAAGGATATGTACTAGCTGAGTGATTCTGAGTTGAAAGTGGCTGTTGAAATGTGGTACTTGGAGGATTAAGAGATAAGTGTTGTTTTCAAGTACTGATGAGAAGGTTCAGCATATCCTTATCACTGAACTTTTATGACTTCGAGTTTTAGTCTGTAGGAAGAAAACCCAATACCCCTTTCTCCCCAGTTTGTTGTAGTAAACATTTCTGGTTAATTGTATTATTGAGGCAACCTTGCGAACATTTTAAATATTAAGACAATATTTTCTGTGGAAGCTTCTATCTCCCCAACTCCTCCACTCCCTGGAATTCTAACAGAAGGGCAGAAAGATAAAACAGCTTTTTATTCCTTCAGTGTAATTTTCGGATCTTGTTTCTGAACAGCATTAACATTCAAGTGGAAAACTTTTTCGTATTTCCTCTCTTTTACTTTTATTAAAGTCTCACAATTCATTTAATCTTGAAATTTGCAAGTAGGAAGGTAGTGCTCTGAACCCTTTTTGTCCTGTGTGCTCATAGACAAAAAAAGTTGTATATTTCATTTTCCTGTGACTTGACCAGATACTAATTTTTTTAGCCTGCATGTTTGTTTTTGAAATTTGAATTAGATTGAAAATACTTGTTTCTCGTAAATGAAAAAAAAAGCCTTTTAGGGTTTTGAAAAGAAAAATGGTTCTTTAAACCATTTTCAATTTTTCTCTTCACTATAGCGGTACGGGAGACTCTGGAGGGTAGAAAGTAGATACAGAGAAGACTTAATTGATTCAAGCTAGGAGCAATTTTCATTACAAATGCTTTTGTCTGATCAATAATATAAATAGTTAATTGTATAGATACGCCATTTAAAAATGGCTTGAAAATGAACATTACTTTTGCTCTTTCATGTCTTTTTACCGACTTTGACCTATCAGATGTGTCCTTTGGTCCCACTGAAACTATTCATTTAGGAGTAATATGTTGCCTGTGTTTTTAAAACATGTTTCATCTGGGGTGCCTGGGGGACTCAGTCGGTTTAAGTGTCTGACTTCAGCTCAGGTCATGATCTCACAGCTCATGAGTTTGAGCCCTGCATCAGGCAGTCTGCTGTCAGCATAGAGCCCACTTCAGATCCTCTTTCCCTGTTTCTCTCTGCCCCTCCCCTGTGCTTTCTCTCTCTCTCTCTCTCTCCCAAAAATAAATAAACATTAAAAAAATGTCTCGTCTCCTTGGAGAATTAATAAATGTCTTATATAAGGCAGTGTACAAGATTTGTCAAATTATAAGATATAGTCATTAATTCATTCCTCAAATATTCTTGAGAGCCTACTCTGTGCCTGGTACTTTTCTAAGTCCGAGGGCAAAGTAGTAAAACTGAACCTACAACATAACTAAAAGTCAGACAGACCTGGATTGTAACATAGTTTTAACACTTATTCACTGTGGGGTGGGACATCTTTGAGGTTTCAGTTTTCTGTTCTTTTAAATGGAAATAAAAATACTACCTATTTCATAAGTTTCTGTGATGATGAAAACACTTAGCACAATAACTACGGCTGAGTGGATGCTTAGTCAGTATTTATTGTCGTTAATTATATTGGCTGTGCTGGGACTCTGCTGCATTCCTCAACAAAATGGGGGAGAAGGCCAGGCAGCAAGGGTGGGAAGATGTGTCTTTGCTCAGCATTGTGGTATACTTTATTACTTGATCTCTTCAGTAGCACTATTTATGACCTAAATCACTCACGGAAAAGTTCCTTCAACCTGTATTTACAGTATTCTCTCTCCACAAACCTAGTTTGTGGGCAGGGCCAAGCTGAAGAAACAAATATCAGGTAGAATTTTCTACCTGTCTTTCTGTCTAGCCTTTCCTATCTCCCCCCGCCCAGCACCACCAAAGAAACTCCTTTTTGACAGATTAATTTTTTGACAAATTCCCATTTGTGGGAATTTACTCATAGAACTGATTGCCTCAATACAGCTCAGAATTAGCCAGCCACTGTGCTTTAAAGTGAAAAATCAGTAAACAGAAATAAGAACTAACTGAGGAGTTTGGAATTTATCCCATAGGTGGTGAGAGTAATCATTAAATAAATATGAGTTGGTACCAACACAATCAGAACTGTGGTTTGGGAGAATAATTGTGTATAAGATTGATTGGTGGGCAGAGAGACTGAATGTTGTAGTCACTTTTATCTTGAAATAGCTTAGGCACAAAATGATAACAACCAAAACTCAGCTGTGGCAGTAAAAGCAAAAGATTATTGATAGACTAAGGTGGAATCAATCATGAATAAGATGCTTCCCTCTGAGAAGCATGTGGGACTTTAACCCCATTAAAGGAATTGCAGAGCCCATTTTCCATCTATGTGTACTCCCTCATTCTCAGAGTGGAATGTTGAGCCCAAAGCCTGCTGTATTTATTAAATATTCTCTTTTCCTCAATACCTCCATCCCTCTGCCTTCTCTAATATGTGGAGTTGTATCTGAATAAGCAAATGCACATATGATGTGACCCCACTACTTTCCTTTTATGTCCTAACCCTGTTGCTTTTGCCTTTACTTAGTCAAATATCTGTGGAAATCTACTATCTCACCTAGCATAGATGCTTTCTTTCTCATAAAGCTTTCCTTCTATTCATTCCTGTAAGTATGTGTTGTTTTCTAATCTCTGGTGAAACTAAATATTTCTTTCACCATATTTACTTAGATTAGTTGTGTTTGTCTTCAGAGGTAAGGACAACAGTGCTTGAGTCCATATTACATATCTACAATTTCTTATATAATAAGTACCCAGTAAGTATTTGTCAAACAAATACTTGCAAAAGTGTACCTTTTTTTTTTTTAAAGTTGCATTTGGTTGGAGGCTACATTACCGTTCTCAGGTTTCTGAGGCATTTTCAGGGTTAATGGGAGGAGAGGAGTGAGGAAGCTATCACTAGCCATGCTGATGTGCCATTTTGTGTAGATTATGAAGTCTCTCGTTGTGCTTTAAAATTCCAGATGTTTACATAACCTTTTCAAAAGAAAACCTTGTTTCAAATGATACTTTTAGTTTAAAACATACGAGTATGAAAACAGGGGGAGGGCTTTTATTTGAGCACTTTATATCTTTTTTTAAGTTTATTTATTTATTTTGGGAGGGAGATAATGCAGGCGAGCAGGGAGGAGGGGAGAGAGAGGAAGATAGAATCCCAAACAGGCTCCACCCCATCAGCATCGGGCTCTATCCCACTAACCCTTGAGATCATGACCTGAGCTGAAATCAAGAGTCCAGCACTTAACCCACTGAAACACCCAGGCACCCCAAGCATTTTATATCTTAATAAAGCGCTTCTTAATAGTTGATTAAATTATCAGTCTCTCTGATCAGGTTTCTTTTTTCATCGGTGCAATGATGGAAGATAATTACATGCATCAACATAAATCAAATAGAGAATTTTTCAATATAAAATAATTTAGATGTAGAGAAATTAATGGAAGTTTCTAAGAGTAGACTATTTTGCTTCTCCCTTTTTAAAAGTTGGTAAAAGGGGGCGCACTTGTGGGGATGAGCAATAGGTGTTATATGGAAATCAACTTGACAATAAACTATTTGTAAAAAAAAATTTTTTTTAAGTTGGTAAAAGGTAAAAGCAAGGCCATTTGTATATTTTTGATTGGATTGAATGGTTTAATGAAATCTATTTCAACTTTATATTTTGCTTTTGTTATAGGATCCTCATGCAGAGGAATTTGAAGATAAAGAGTGGACATTTGTCATAGAAAATGTAAGCTAATGGCAAATTTTATCACCTTTCCCCTTGTTGACTGTATATGTTGTTAAAGTACACTAGCATTTTGGTGGTAGAAGAAATGTCACTTTTAGGAAATTAAATAGTGGTTTATAGCTTTTAGAATTTCTTTAATGAAATTATTGTCAGTAGCAGAATTGTTACAATTATAAAAGTAAAAATACTCTACCAAATTATGAGTATACTTTGTGTTAGGTTTGGGGCATAAGGGTCTTATTCATCTTTTTATCTGTTCAGCATCTAGCATAGTGCTTCTCACATAGCAAATGCTTATTTAAACCTTTGTTGAACAAAATCACGAATGCCCTTTGACATCTTTAAAAATAAAGTACGTGCTTTAGCTCTTTGGGTTGAGGAATTTTTTTTTTTTTTAATGTTTTATTTATTTCCAGGAGAGAGAGACAGCATGAGCAGGGGAGGGTCAGAGAGAGAGGGAGTCACAGACTGAAACAGGCTTCAGGCTCTGAGCTGGCAGTCAGCACAGAGCCCGACGCGGGGCCCGAACCCACGAACCGCGAGATCATGACCTAAGCGAAAGTCGGACGCTTAACCGACTAAGCCACCCAGGCGCCCCTGGGTTGAGGAATTTTAGACTGGTGCTTTAATAATCATCTTCAATTAATATATAGACTGTGGAATCCCATACGACTAGCAGACATATAATAGGTGTTCAGTAAATATTTTCAAATGAAGATTTGGGAAAGTAGGCAATGAAAATACAGTGAATTAAGAACGAGGGTTCTAGAGTCAGATGTAATTTTAAGCCCTCACTTGGCTCTTCTACTTAGAAGCTGTGTGATTGTGGGAAATTTCTTAACTTTTCAGCTACAAACCTATAGGGTTGTTGTGAATATTAAATAATTTCAGTGAATATTAGCTTTTATCATTGTCATCATCATAATCACCATTAAAGTTCTAAAATATATTTATTACAGATTTATAGCATGCCTTGCTTGCAGCATATTCTTCCTTCCAGAGTCAGTGTATCACCTAACTTTGTTGTATATCTCAGTGATAAAAGGAATACTATACTTTTTCCAGCAGTAGCTGGCACCATTTTAGTCCCAGGAGAGCTGGGAAGCTTGGGAAGATCAGGTCCAAACATGGAGGGAGAGTTCTGATGGCTGGATATCAGGCCAGTGTAATTGTGTTAAAGGTTCATACATGTTAACAATTCTGTCCTTTCTGTAGGTTAGATCTGAACATTGTGCTTGGAGTAGTCACTGAAGTTTTTAAATCAAACAAACTGAGACTTCTTAAAACTGGTTACAGCTTACAAAGCTAGCTTTCGCTCTCATATAAGAGCTTCTCCCTCATGGATGGTCTTTAAGTTTTCAATAGTCATGACTCAATTATAGATCTGATGTCGCTTTATTAACTTGATGTGTGAAAGAGTTAGCCAATCAAATTTGAGTTGTAATTGATGGTAAAAACAGTAATTGTTTAGAAAAGTGTTAATTACATAATTACTCTTAAGATAGAGCCATACCATTTCCAAATTTCTGAAAAACTTACTATATTATCTAACCCACTGAAAGGTACATAAGCCTGTTTTAATAGCAGGCATAAACAGAGTTTATTAAATGAATACTGTGAGGTGTGAGAAAGTTTAAAAATAGCCTTGGGACTCTGTATAAACCTTTTCCTAGGTTACAGCTCCCCTCAGTGGTAAATGATAAAATTGACTCTTGTCTTGAGAAACATTTCCTGTAGCAAAAACATAACAATGTTGTATTCTGCCCTACATTTTAAATGTGCTTCCCCATTACAATTTCAAAGGACTGAAGTCTCTCTTTTTCTCTTGTAAAATCTGGATTTTGTTTGAAAGTCTGTTGGTAAAACATTCTGACACCGAAAAGGCGTGCTCTCTGAATGAAATATAAATAGATCACCTTCCACTTTGTGTTATAACCCCACAGCCAATAAAAAAGTTTAGTTTTTGTTTAATATATCTCAATAAAACAGAGAATTCTCCAAAATATATTACCATAACATGTATTGGGCACTTACTGTATACTGTATACTATGTAGAATGCTTTTTACACATTATCTCATTTATTCATTACAATAATAACTCTGTGAGTCAGATATTAATAACCTCATTTTTATCAATAAAGCAAATGAGACTTAGGAAGGCTAAGTAACTTGCTCCAGCTGTATTACTGCGAAGTTAGAATTTTATCTGGTCTTGTCATTCTCCATGACCTATGCCCTTAACTCCTGTGCAATAACTACCTCCCTTAGTGATAAACCTGTGAGGTACATATGTATTATATTAGTAAAAGTAGTTTTTAATTACTGTACATATTCCATCTAAAAGTTATTGACTACTGCTAGACATTACAAAATAGAATTCCAGCATTTATCAGTAGTCAGAATTCTGAATATTTTTTCCCAAAGCAACTTTGTTGCTTCTTTGTGTAAATTAAGGTAATGCTGTCTTCATTTTACTGGCTCTTTTGTTTCTGGTCACAGAAAAGATTTCCCAGTTTTTTTCTGAATTTTCTTCTTTAGATCAGAAAGCTACTTAATACATAGGTCAAAACTTTAGAGGTAATTTTACTGCTGCTAGCTTTGTGACCTTGTACAAGTCATTCAGTCTTTTATAGTCTCGATGTATGTAGGTATAAAATGATGACATTAATATGTACTCTAGGTTACTGAAAATTAGAAATAATGTATAGAAAGTATCTAGTTCAGTAAGGGGTAGTTATTTTTATAATGTTCTTTCTAGAGGACATGGGAAAATGTAAAGGAAAGGAAGCTAGATTTCCAAACTTATAGTTGCAGGCTTTTAGTTTTTCTGCTCCTTTATACCACTATGCCTCTCACTAGTTCTAGACTTTATTATTATCTCAAGAAATGATAAGGCAATTTGCAAATATCTCAACTGGATTAAACTAAAACATATTTTTATCCTTTGAAAGTTTTCAGTTTTTGATTTAGGACATCTTCCCCTTATAAATGTAATCCAAGATTAAGAACCAGTTTGTTTCCTGAAATTAAACAAGTGTTGATAATTTATTAATATCTACCCCTTGGCCAGACAGTCTGTGTTTTTGTTTATCTAATCACAATATGAATATGTGAAAATACTTCAAAAACAATTATAAAGGAATTTTAAATTATCCTTTATTTTGGATTATTTACAATCCATTTCCATATTATTAGTGCAGATCATCAAGAATGGATACCACAAGGCAATGTGTTTCTTTTTTCATCTACCATAATGTATTAATGTTTGTTCACCCAAGCACTTGACATTGTGGGTTTTATTTTAATGTGAAGTCATACAGTTATATTTAGAAAACAATTTTTTTCCTTCATGGTATTTTAAGATATCCAACTAAAGTCAGAACCAGTATATTTGTAAGTTATACTCAGAAGTCTTAGTTTTGAAAGTTAAAAATTTTTATTCTTTACAATCTTTTGGTTTTTGAATGAATCCCAAAATGCATATTGATGAAAAACACCAAGCTAGGTTGAATTCATTCATTCATTCATTCACTTGTTTTGCAAACATTTAATGTGCATTTTCTTTTTTTTTTTTTTTTTTTTTACAAATAGTTTATT